CAGGGTTTAGGGTTTAGATTGGGTTAAGGGTTTAGATTGGGTTTAAGGTTTAGATGGGGTTTAGGGTTTAGATAGGGTTCAGGGTTTAGATTGGGTTTAGATTGGCTACTGCCCCCACCCTGTACTGGTCTATATTAGGGGTCATATTGAAGGCTATATATAACCATACTATGAGTATTATCCAACTGTTACAGAGTCGGGGCAGTACCCAAGGTTCAGGGTCCTTGGACAGGTTACGCTTGTGAAGCCTGCGTGCTGCCTGCCACATAAATTTGCCGGATTTAGGGGAAGCGGCTTAGGGTTTAGGTTTAAGACCGTGAGGTGTGAAAGGCAGCCAATCCAAGGTTAAGCCTTGGGAAGCCCATCTCTCGGGTTTATAGTCCCCCCTAAGTAGATACAATATGGGGTATATGGGGATATTCTTGTATTATACCCAAAGCCGTATTCTACCTTCAGGGGACTACAGGGTTTAGGGTTTGGTGCCAAGGGCTCGGGGATGATAAGCATGCACCGTTCTGCATTGCATGCTCCTCGATAGTTCCTCAAGCGAGCTTTAGACACGATCAGTTCCCTCTGAAGTGACATGGGTGCATACGCAGATGATGGGGCCTAGACCCTGAACCCCTCTCCGTAAACCCTAAACCAAAACTGCGAGGAGACCAATGACCACTTCTCTTGTTCCCTGAGGCAAGCTCATCAAACCAATTTCACGCAATTTCTGCATTGGGCTTTCCAAAACTAGGGACAGGGATTTACAGGGTTCAGGGCTTCCCAACGATTGGGATACCTCTTTGGGATCCCTATAACAAAGATTGTAGTATTTGGGGGCGTGTATTGGGGTCCCCATGTTGAGTCAAACTACCCCACAGACATTGCAAAGCATGGTGAGTCTCAAATTGTAAAAGTCTGCATTCAAGGGGTGTATGTAAACCGCAGCGGCAGTGGAGAAACTCCCGCATAATCCTAACCGATTTCCCATGTAATCCCCAGATAAACTTACGTTATCCTCAGAGAAACCCAAATAATTCACCAGCTTAACATAGGTAGGGTCTCTTACATAACGCTTATGAAAAGCTACAGGATACTATTTACAACTTGCAGCTTTCCCTACTTGGATATTCAGCCTAAACCTTAAACCGGGAAACCCTGAACCCTAAAACCCGAAAGCCCTGAGACCCTAAACCCTAAACCCCTAAACCCTAAACCCTAGACCCTAAAGCCCTGAGACCCAACTCCCCTTGGGCTTCCTCCAAGGCATCTGTGGCGCGGCGCTCTGCCCCACAGAGGTCTGCACCAGAGGCCTCGCATGGTAGCTTCGATTTAGGACTTATTGAAGGTCTAGGCAGGTTTGGGGTTTAGAGTTTAGGGGTTAGGGGTTTAATGTAACGCGCTGGTGCTTCTTGTAATAGGAAATGGGGCAGTGGATTATAAAGATGCTGATTGGATATCATATCGGCAGCTGTTCTTTGGAATGAACTCTTACCTACAGATTAAGCACTTGGTAAACTTGGTAGAAAATAAAACATCCCTTGAACGTGGAAATGTAAAATGCATTGGCTCTTTTCTGGCTCGGTGCAGGAAGGGGCCTACAATCTTGGTAATCGAAAAAGATATCTGCACTTTGACCCCCAGAAGTGGAGTTTCGAATTCAAGGGATTAGAGTTGAGGGTTAAGGATTCAGGGGATTAGGGTTTAGGGTTGTGTATGTAGGGGTTTTTAGAAGGCTTTGAAACTTGCTCCTTTGAGCCGCTTGCTACTACCGGTTTCATGGTGTGCGGGGGGTTTCCAAAATTTAGGGGCGCCCTTCGGTGATACCTAAAATGAAGATTACATCGGGGTGTATCACAAGGATCCCCCTAAACGCTAAACCCTAAACAATGAAACTCTGAACCCCTAAATGCCCCTAAACCCTAAATCCAATCTTTTGAACCCCAATGTAGGATTCCAATGACGAGACAGTGATTTCGGGAATCTGTTCACACGCTTCTGAGGGCTTCATACGAATTAGCTCAAAGCTTTACAGTGAAGTGTCTCCAGCTGATACTAAGAGCCATCCCTCGGGAATCATCACCTTCTAGTATACTAACGTCATGCAGGATGCTTTGTATTCACAGTAGCACTGTTTAGGCTTTAGGGTTTAGTAGTGCTCACAAAGTTCGTAACTATGAGTCTCGAGCTTTTGCTTCAACTTGTTCATGGATCTGCAAGTCTCGGCCGCCAGCAATATACCAGCTCGTCCACACCTTTGCAATCCGTAGAGTTTAGGTTTACGACTTTTTGGTTGAAGCAGTCTGCGAGACTACATGTACTGATTCAATGAACAACCAGCGGTCGCCGACTAGCAGCAGAATTGGGCAATGGCAGTTGCCGCTTTCTTTTCCATTATCCCTGTATAACCCCTATGTCGCCGTAATAGTGCAGTAGCTTCCATGTTCTTTTTCATTACACCCTTCACATATCTGGTATACTTTGCTGGATCCTTGCGCATGAAAGCTCATGGGTTGGCATGCACATGACAACGCTGCAAAATTGCTGATGCCCGAAAACTGGCAGACCGTCACAGCACATCGCTGTCAATCTCCATAGATTAGCCCAGTAACTGTCAGAGTTTGCCTGGCTGCGGCTGCTGTTCTCCGTGCACGCTGTGGAGGTGATGCTCAGTGAAGCCCGTGTCACTGGTGGCGAGTTCCAAGAAGTTCTTTTCGCTGATGTTTTTGCCCTTGGAAAGCTATTGAGAAAGTGCTCAGTTTCAGCAAAATTCGCACCTACATCGTCGGTTGAACCGAGCCAGCGAGGCTATGGGGTGTTCAGTCTCAGACTCTGGCCATCTGCATCATCTGCACAGTCATAAACCCAAACCAGCGTTCGCGTCGTGTCTTCTGAACGTGCTCGTTACCAGAATTCATCTTCGCTCGTCACGTCCTACTGATCAATCGTCGAATTGTCGGGTTGCAAGCTGGAACGGCTCGAAAACAAAATGATCTCGTATACCGAACCAATCCTGGGTGGCTGTTAAGGAACTTAAATTGAGTTACCATGCCTGGTATCCATATTGTAATCAATATGGTTTCCCCAATATAGTAACTTTAACTGAGTTCCTTAACAGCAACCCGGAATCAGATTTGGTAAGACCCATGCGCGACAGAACGAATGCCGACCGTGGAGAGTTGAACAGCAGTTCCTGGGTTGCTGTTAAGGAAGTTTTTTGGTATAGGTTTTAAGGTTCAGGCTTTAGGGCTCAGTGGGTTGCTGTTAAGGAACTGAAATTAAGTTAGCAGAATAAGGAAGACCTATTGTTTACTGTATACCGAGAGCATGGTAACTTAAATCAAGTTCCTCAACGGCAACGCAGGTTCAATGGGGCCAGGCGCCATTCCAGGGAGCTCCAAGAGGAGTGCATCCCTCCGTTCTGAATCCGGACCTGCGGGCTCAACAGCTTTCATCCATGTGCCCGCCCCCCAAATGCTTGTCTCTAACCTTCCGTCTGGTAGAAGACGAAAAATGCCAGCAGGACATAGCTTTCCCAGCGGCTGACTGTAAATATAGAAGCGCTGATCCAGAAATTGCTGTGCTGAGCTGGCAGTCAAGGTGTGCCCGCGTCTGCAGATGATCCCTTCAGACTTATCCGTCCAGCTCATGAAGCTCTCACCTGTCGACTCATCCCAGTTCCGGAACTGCCAGCGTGACCCATTCCAGCCCTGACCAATTCCCAGGCAATCAGTGAGGATCCCATCCCGCTGCAGCTCATTCACAGTGCGCTGGACACCAACTTCATGGCCGAAGTCATCAAACACCATGTATTCCAGCTCCTTTCTGGGTCTCTAATATAGAGACCCCAATAAACTATACTCCTTATTATAAGGCTCCTAGAAAGTCATCCCTAGCTTTTGGAAACCCGCATGTAATTAGGGACCTTATGAAACCAATAGTGGTAAAACATCCAAAAATCCCGAATGACAACCGAGGCTCTGGCAAATAGAACAATGCATTGTGCGCATCGGCTCGCACATACTCATATCGATGGTTGGCATCAACCACAACCACCTTGATTCCACTGCTCGCGAACATCTGCCAATTTCCGACCATAAGATCTGCGGTTAAGAAAACTATGTTAGAATGGTGCTTGGTATGGGCAGCCGCCACTCGTAAATATGACTTCTCAATGTCGATGGAGATGACCTGCTGAAACATGGCTGCCAGCACTGCTGTAGTATGTCCATGGTAAACACCCAACTCCAGGAGGACGGTGCGGCTGGGCAGCTTGCAAAAATACTCCGACAGGTGTCGCTTGTACAGCCGGGATGTGGTAACAAACATGTCCGCCTTGTCCTCGGTTTCCCAAGAACCAAGGCAAAAACACTTAAAACTTTGCTCTTGTGTCCTGCCCCCACCCACCCATTAACAGTCTATAAAAGGGGTCATATTAAGGGCTATACATATAACACAATTGAAAATAATATCCAACTGTTGATGGGTGGGGGCAGTAGCCAACTTCGCTCTCTAACGCAAACAAGGAGGCCCAACAAACTTGCAGCTCCTCTGTTGGCTACGTGAAGGTTCATTTGACTTAGTAATTGCTTGTAAGTTTGCTTCTAACCTACTTAGAATCCACTGAATGGACTTAAGGAGGTTACCCCAAATTTCAGTAGGGCTAGAAGCCCGGTTATAAGTAGTTACTGTGTCCCATGAACCTTCAAGTAGAGTGCTTCTGTTCGGTAAGTGTCTGGCGCTCTGTTAATTTCCAACTCCGCTTTGGTCAGGCATTCGTCGGTTTGAGCTTGGCAAGAATGTAGAACCGCGGCCCAAAGAATCAGCGGATGCCAGTGCCACATGAGGGATCATATAGGGATATCAGTGGATGGAATAGGTATGTTTTTCACAGGGGTTATAGGCAAATTACTCCAACAATGGAGAATCACATGCAAAAGCAAATGCAAAATGACATGGAAAGTTAGGCTAGTGCTAAGTGGGGTTTGCTCAACAAGGGGGTCTCTAAGGACTCTAGGACACATGGGCATTTTTAGGGCCAATCAAGACGTTACCTGAGGGACAGCGCAAGAGCTGGCCTGAATTATGGTTCCTGAAGAGCAGGAAATTCAAACAGGATTTAGGGGTCCAGGGTTTAGTTTTCCACAGGAACCCGAAGATGTGGACCAGCAGTATGCTCATTGGAAGGAAATCACGCAAAGGAAAATGCTTTTACTCCACCCTTACTCTCTTCATGCGATGCTTACTAAGACTAAAAACTCACCTGAAGCTTGAGCCACAACTTCACGTCCCTTGAATCTTGGCAGCTAGAAGGACACGAACAAGTGAGTTGTCGCCCGGGCATTCCTACTTTGCTTGGAATGCTTGAGAGCTTCCAAAAGATGAGGGCCCCTCTTGAATACGCTGCGGGCATACCTCCAGGCCCTCTGTCTTGCCACATGTTAGACTGAAGTAGCCTTCCATGATGTTAGTATACTATCGTACCACACTTCTACGGGTATTTGTTAAAGGTACAGAAGGTCATGTTTTAGTACCCTAAACCCTATACCCCTAAACCCTAAACCCTAAGCCCTAAAACGCATCCGATCTGACAGCATCTCTGGCTCCAGCGAAGCAGTAAAGCATCAGGAAAAACAGCCTAGGCCGCAAGCCCACAATTTCGGGCTAAGGATTTAGGGTTAATATTGGGTTTAGGGTTTAGGGGGTTAATGTTGGGTATATATTACATTGGGATAATGGAAAAGAAAATGGAAACTACTATAATATCATAGGGTATACATTGGGCTTCGGCGTCTCAAGTCGAAGCAGTTAGCCATGTCCTTTCTTTTTCATGTGCTTGGTATCAACCCACCTCCCACGTTCTCTTTCATTTAGCCTTTATGCCCATTACTCGTCCTTTGCTCGCCACGCGTGTGTCCCTTGACTCCTAAGACAATACTTATACAAACATGGAATATAGCACTGAGCAAAACAGTATAAACCTGTGTTCCGAACACGCACTTAAAAGCATCCCCGGATGCATCAACGGTGATTGGGCTGGAGCACCAGTCTTGACCGCTCCTGGGGCTCGGGGGGATAAACCCTTAACCCGTGTTTTGGTTAGGTGGACCCCCCACCCAGTAATAGCGGCTATAAGGGATAATAAGGATTATACTAGGGTCCTACTATATTCCTATTATACCCCTATTACAGGGTGGGGGGTCCTTCAAATGTATAGGGTCCTCGTATTTGTTTTACTGTTTTGGCATGTCCCTGGCATGCCATGCCCATTTCCCCTGAGAGGGAGGACACCGGCCAGACACACCCAGACCACAACCCACGTTCAGGCTTAAGTGTCTGTATATACACACATGTAAGTAGATATGCCATGTATATATATATGTATATATATATATATGCGGGCAATGGCTTAGGGTTTCGGGCGCAGCTGTTAAGTTACATTGTAGGAATATTAGGGGCCATGGTCTGATTACCTGGGACCCCAAGAAGGGACCATAATTTTGACAACCTACCACATGCATCTACCATGTTTGCAGCAAGATCTGGAGAAGCTATTGAAAGGTGGCAAGAGTTTGTATATTTGGGCTCCATATATAGCTCTAAACCCTTAACCCTATCATGACAATTCCATTTGACTTGAAATTTGATTCTCCATTACGGGGTAGCATGCCTAAACCCGACAGTCCCCGTGTACCTTTTATGCAATCTCCAAACCGAAACCTGAGCCTTGAGCCCGAAACCCTAATCCCTGAACCCTAAACCGCTTGGTTTTGAGAAAGTCCCATCTGACACCCAGGTGTCGGGCGCTGTTGACATAGCTCTTGACAGTGTGGTACCCGGAGGCAACAGGACTCGCCTGGGCCACACTGCCGCTCCTTATTTGTGCACGAGGTAGGTATGTCACCAAAATTAAATAAGAGTTATCTGATTGTGACTTGTTTCTTCCGACCGAGTGCCTAGCAGGTAGCAGATGGTCATTTCTCCCAAGTAGGGTTCTCCCTATGCAGAACCTACAGCGTATGGGTCCTCAAACCCTGAACAGTGCCGTGCAGGCAAGGACCCCGAGTTCTGAACCAGCACCATCGTAACTCATAGCAACTGTAAGGGAGGCTGACTGGGATGGGTTGGTTACCAGTGCCTTTTCGGTGTGTTTACTTGGCAAGAGCTTCGGAGAAGCAACTGAGTAGCTACAACAACGAATCGTCACAGCCCGCCAGGGCAGCGTCTCAGACTGGTCTGCCTACAGTTCCTTACAATCACTATGTATCCCCGAATTGTGGACCCCCCTTTGTTTTAAAGCCCTAAGTGTTAGGTCATTCCCGTTACAGTACCAATTACAACAGTGAGCAAAAGGAGCTTTCATAGCTTGGATATTAACTGTCTATACACAACCCACTTGATCTTTTCATTTTCCACGCTCGTTTCCTTTTGATTCTCCAGTATTCGGGTAATATCCCCTTAGCCCCTATACAACCCTTTACAATCCCTATTTCATCCCTGAATAACCCTGAAAGCCTTTATGCATCCCCACATAATTAAGCTATACACGCCCATATATTCCGTATATGATCCCCGTGTAGCCAGTTTGTAAGGCTCAGCTCAACCCTAACCCCTAACCACTAACCCCCAACCCCTAAACCCTAAACCCTAAAACCCGAACCCTAAACCCCTAAACCCCTAAACTCTAAACCCTAAACAGTCAACCTTCCGGGAGCTCTGAGGCTCTGCACTCAATGAGAAGGCGGCTGTCTGGATCAGACTCTTTGGCCTCGCCAGGGTATAGGGTTCAGGGTTTAGGGTATTATAGGGTATTTGAGGAGGCCTAGGGTTTAGGGTTTAAGGTTCAGGGTTTAGGAGGTTTCGGGTTAAAGATTCAGGAGGTTTAGGGTTTAGGAGTATCAGGGTTTAGGAGGTTCAGGGTTTAGGTTTGGGAGGTTTAGGGTTCAGGGTTTAGGGTATTATAGGGTATTTGAGGAGGCCTAGGGTTTAGGGTTTAGGGCTCATGGTTTAGGAGGTTTCGGGTTAAAGATTCAGGAGGTTTAGGGTTTAGGAGTATCAGGGTTTAGGAGGTTCAGGGCTTAGGTTTGGGAGGTTTAGGGTTCAGGGTTTAGGGTATTATAGGGTATTTGAGGAGGCCTAGGGTTTAGGGTTTAGGGTTCAGGGTTTATGGCTTCAGGGTCTAGCAAGATTCTTTACCCTAAACCCCAAAACCGGTTCAAGGACAGGTGACCTCTAGCAATAACATCCCCATATACCCCATATTCTATCTACTTAAGAGGGGCTGTAGGTTTGCAAAATGGTAGATTCCTCAAATAAGGAGACCCCAACCTGGACCCCAAAACCCTAAACCCTGAACCCTAAACCGGCTTAAGGAAAGGCGACCTCTAGCAACCTTTTCCCAGGATGCCTACTTTGAACTCCAATCCGCTGCGGCCTTCTCATGGGCCCGCGCCACCATCTCCTCCTGTCAGGTCAAAGGGGTTATATCCGGGTTATATAGGAGCTATAAAGGGGTTATATGGGGTTATAAGGGGGTTATATAGGGGTATAGACGGAGGCATAGGAGTTTAGGACTTTGCAATTCCCGTAAGAAGAACTTCTAATACTTTGGGGTCTATATTGGGGCCCCCTATTTCTGGAAAGCACCAGAAAAGACCTAGCGCAGTCCATCAGCACGGCTAAGCTTCTGAAAGAGCCGCCAGTGTGAGCAACTGAGGATCGGAACTTCATCTTGACATGCTAACTCTGTTTCTGGCTAACAGGGAATGAAGGAATGGAAAAGGCAATGGAACTCATTATATGATTCAGGGCTATATAGGGGCTACTATGGAGATCCATTCCTTCATTCCTTGCGGTGAATAACCCCAAACCCTTAATCCTTTACCCTCCACCCGTCTCTGTCCTGTCCCAAGATTCAGGCGGGAACGTTTTTGGAAGCCAAGGCTGCCAAAACCAAGTCTTTAGAGCTAGGGGTTAGAGCTTAGTGTCTTGTATGCCTTGTCAATTTCGTTTGGTGCTGGTTGACACTTGGCTGGCTGAAGTGCTCATCGTGATTGTGCTTGAGGCGCGTTGGTCATATGTCATAGTTTGAGTCTATAGGGGCCTAAAATATTACAAATGTGATTTTGAAGTCTTTGAGGTACCCTATCCCATAATTACATCCCCAATCTAGACTGTAATATTGGCTGTTGTTTTGGCCCCTACAGTTTGCAAATACGACTCATTTCAGATGCCGCGCGCAGGCCACACCTCTAAGCATTGTGGCAAACACAGGCCAGGCAAGTGCGCGAAAATCACCTGGTACCCTCTGGGCTGCTGTCAAGGAACGT